TGTGTGTGTGTGTGTGTGTGTGTGTGTGTGTGTGTGTGTGTGTGTGTAGAGAGAGAAAATTTTATTTTATTTTGTCTTTTTGAGATACAGTCTCATCATGTAGCTCAGGTTGTCCTTGAACTCACTATGAGGGCAGCCTCAAGCTCCCAAAGATCCTCATGCCTCTTCCTCCCAAGTGGTGGGAAAGGACTGTACCCTTATACCTAGCTTTTCTTGTATATATTATATGGAAAGATCTGGGCTAAATAATACAGGCCTCAAAAACTCACGGCCTGTTCTCAGCTGTGGTTCCAGCACCATACCTTTCTACTTCCTACCATAAATGTTATGGACTAACTAATCTTCTGAAACTGTAAGTGAATTCCTAATTAAACACTTTCTTTTATAAGACTTGCCTTTGTCATGATATCTCCTCACAGTAATAATACAGTGACTAAGACGGATGCTTCTGGTCTTAAAATGTATCCTGAATTGGGGTATGGGAAATTTTGGCTAAGACGTCAATTTGAGTAGAAACATTAATATACCCCTTTCCCAGTTAGTAAGTTAATTAACTTATTTACAGATAGGATATCTATAGTCCAAGCTAGCCTAGAACTCAGCTAGTTACCTTGCCTAGGCAGCACTTGGGATTACAAGCGTGTAATAACATACCCAGGAATTTATTTAGGAATGTAAAAATGGACACATTTGTTTTATATATGTGCCAAACCTAAAGTGATTTTTGTTTTTGTTTTTGTTTTTGTTTTTCGAGACAGGGTTTCTCTGTGTAGTCCTGGCTGTCCTGGAACTCACTCTGTAGACCAGGCTGGCCTCGAACTCAGAAATCCGCCTGCCTCTGCCTCCCAAGTGCTGGGATTAAAGGCGTGCGCCACCACCGCCCGGCTAAAGTGATTTTTTCCCCCACATAAATTACCATTTTAAGAGCTAAGCATAGCGGGTCAGTGGTAGCGCATGCCTTTAATCCCAGCACTTGGGAGGCAGAGGCAGGCGGATTTCTGAGTTCGAGGCCAGCCCCAGCCTGGTCTACAGACTGAGTTCCAGGACAGCCAGGACTACACAGAGAAACCCTATCTCGAAAAACCAAAAAAAAAAAAAAAGAGCTAGGCATGTTGGTATGTATATGCCTTACCTTTTAATCCTCACACGCAGGAGGCAGAAGCAGGCAGGGCTGTATTATACAGAGAAACCTTGTCTCAGAAACAAAACAGAATGAAATGAAAATGACCATTTTAAACAATCTAATGCTGGTATCTTATTTTCCTAATTCTAAACAAATATATTTCCCTTAAGTATCAGTAAGTCTACAAAACAAAATTATTTGGAGAGTTGAAGCTTATTCTGCTCATAGTATTAATATTGACAAATCTTATAAAGATTGTCGTGTTTTATTCTTGCTTTGGCTTTAATCTGTCTGCTATGTAGATTTAAATAAGCAGAGAAAGGTTGATCCCAGAATATAACTTCTGCCTACCCTACAGTGGAATATGTACTTTATTTATTCCATATAACACTGGAGAATTAGCTGTAATTTCGATTTATAAGAGAAAAAAGCAAGGGCTGGAGAGATGGCTCAGTGATTAAGAGCACTGGCTGCTCTTCGAGAGATCCTGAGTTCAATTCCCAGCTACCATGTGGTGGCTCCCAACCATCTGTAATGAGATCTGATCCCCTTTTCTGGTGTGTCTGAAGACAGCAACAGTGTACTCATGCATAGAATAAATAAATTTAAAAGAAAAAAATAAAAAGAAAAAAGCAAGCCAGAGGGCTAAGAGTTTAGCTAAGTGGTAGAGCCCTTACCTAGCATATACATCTCCAGTACCACAGAGAGACAACAAACTCATAGAACTTTCTGTTACTTGCATGATATAGTTCATTCAGAAGACAGAGTTTTATACCTGAGGAGTATGACGATGACTGGTGGTTTGCCATATTGCATAATCTTAGAAAACATTGTTTATTTTTTTCCTGAGAAAAGAAAATATTTCTTAAAATGCAAAGTAGGTATTTGTAGTAATTACGGGTGTGGGTATGTGTATGTATGTATCTGTTAAATACCTGAAAGAAGCAGCTTAAGGGAGAAGGGACAGATTTTGGCTTATAGTTTTAGGGCTACAATCTGTGGCAACCAGGAAATACAACAGGCAGCTCCAAAGATGGACGAACCAGTAGCAGCTGCCTGAAACATTTACTTTTAGAGATAGTCTTGCAACAGTAGCCCAGCCTGGCCTCAAACTTTTAGTCATTCTCCTGTCCTTATTTACATCATACTTTGATTATAGGTTGCACCACCATGCAGGATAACAGTCTCTTACAGGAGAGAACCGGAGCATTAGGCTAGTGCTATAACCTTAAGCTCTTCCCTAAATCCTTCTCTCTACCAAGTAGGCCCTGTGTCCACCTACTGGAGACCAACTGTTGAAAAATGAACCCATGGGAAACATTTCATACCCAGTGGAATAGTAGGAAGAATACTGGATTGATTGTCAAAGTTATTTTGCCTTAACCACATGCTATGAGTCTCTTAAATTCTCTTTTGTTTTTTGTTTTGTTTTGTTTTGTTTTTGAGACAGGGTTTCTCTGTATAGCCCTGGCTGTCCTGGAACTCACTCTGTAGACCAGGCTGGCCTCGAACTCAGAAATCCGCCTGCCTCTGCCTCCCAAGTGCTGGGATTAAAGGCGTGCGCCACCATCACCCGGCAAGTCTCTTAAACTCTTAAATTCAAATGTTGTCCTATTACGTATTTGTACTTATTCCATGTCTTTTTCTTACTCATTTTGTTTTTAAGATTCTTGTATCTCCCAGTCAGCATCATTTCCTCGTAACCAGAAACAACAAGGGGTGGATTCTTTATCGCCAGTGGCCTCACTTCCTAAACAGAATTTCCAGCCCTCAAACCAACAACATCTTACTAAACCTGCTAATAAAATTACTTGTGCAAACTGCAAAAATCCTTTACAGAAGGGACAGACAGCTTACCAACGAAAAGGATCAGCTCACCTCTTTTGTTCAACCACCTGCCTTTCTTCTTTCTCTCATAAGCGCACTCGAAAGACACGGAATGTAATGTGTAAAAAGTAAGCAGGCCTTAATGTTTCTCTATGTAGTTTAGTGCTCAGTATAAATGAATACTCTGAACATAATTGTAAGCTAGACTTGTGGTAGATGTGTCAGATTTTTTCACGTTTATTGATTGAGCAATTCTAGAACTGTAATCTCATCTAAACTGTAGTTTTAAAAAAGAATGCGTATCGATACATGAGTTGCTATGTTTGCCTTTTCTGTTCTACATCTTACGTGTTAGTTCTGCCAGCCTACCAATTCAGTCAGTGCCTTTCCCTTTTGGGCCATCTCCCCAAGCCCACGATCAGCATTTTTTAAGATTTACTTTTATGAGGCTGTAGAGTTGGCACAGTGTTTTAGAGTAGTAGCTGCTCTTCTAGAGGACCTTGGTTTGATTCTCAGTATCCAGGTAACTAATTAGCTTCAGTCCCAGGGAATCCAAAACCCTCTATGGCATTGCATCCTTGTGGTACACAGGCATACACACAGGTAAAATAACCATACACAGAAAATAAAAATAAAGGAAAAAAATTTAAGTTCTGTGTATGTGTTTTAACAAGACTCAGAGATGTTACATCACCCTCTAGCTGGAGTTAAAAGGTAGTGCTGAGCTGCCTGATGTAGGCTAGGCATCAAACTCAGGTTCTCTATAAGAGCCAGACATACCAGTAAACCATCCATTTAGCACCATTGGTTTTGTTTTTTCTACCAGTATTTTTCTTAAAGATTTGTTTATCTGTATGAAGTTTTGCCTGTGTCTATATAAATGCACTCTGCCTGATACCCTCAGAGGCCAGAAGTCACTGGGTTCACTGAAGCTGGAGTTACGGACAGTTGTAAGCCACTGTGTGGGTGCTAAGAACTGAATCTGGGTCCTGTGCAAGAGCAGCCAGTGCTTTTAACTGCTGAGCCATCTTTCCAGCCCCAAGTGCTAGGATTTTTTAATCCTAGAATGCTAAGGAACATTAATGTTAGAAGAGTTTTCATTTGAATTTTCTCCTGTATTATTTAGGAAATGGAAGTAAAACTGAAAGTGGATCTTAAAGTACAGTGATCTTCAGATGTTTCTTTCTCCTTTGTGTTTCAGAGATTCTCCTATGAGAACCGCAACTATTGTTCCTCCAGTGGAGTCAAGCAAGTCCTTACAAGAATTTTATAGTGCATCTCTGTCTCCCAGTGAAAACTGCCAGAGTCTTAGGAAAGAAGTTTTTACTAAGTCAAGATGTATAATCTGTAATAAATTAGGAGAGGTCTGCTTTTCATGCTGTTACTATTTAGACTTGTAGAAATGTTAATTTTTAAGTTCTAATAATCTGAGCTCTGCCATCTACCTAAAGTCCATATCCTAAATATTCAGATTGGAAGGACTTCTAAGGATGTTAGAATTCTCTTTAAAACATTTGCTACTAGCTGGGCGGTGGTGGCGCATGCCTTTAATCCCAGCACTTGGGAGGCAGAGGCAGGCGGGTTTCTGAGTTTGAGGCCAGCCTGGTCTACAGAGTGAGTTCCAGGACAGCTAGGGCTACACAGAGAAACCATGTCTCAAAAAACAAAAAAACAAAAACAAACAAACAAACAAAAATTACTACTGAGTGGTGGTGAACACCTTTAATTCCAACATTTGGAAGGCAGAGGCAGGCAGATCTCTGAATTTGAGGCCAGCCTCGTCTACACATAGTGAGTTCCCTATGTACTAAAGAGATTCCCCCTGACCAAAAAAGATAGATATATACACACACATACACCACACACCACACACACACTATTCTTATATTGTGTCTGTTTCTGTGGAGTTAGTTGTGATAATTCAATAATTTCAGGACAATAAAGGAAGCAACAGATCCTACAGGAAGGTGTAGAACAAACGGTTTGATACATTTTCAAGAGGAAGAGCTGGACATTCAGGCAGTCCTTTGTTTTACATTGTCCTTGGTAACTAAATCTGATGTTGAGTAGCTTTGGGAGCCATTCAAATCAAGGACAAAAGTTTATCCGTTACAGCTTTCAAACCATCTCACTGCACATTCTAAATGTGGATAGCGATTGCCTTCATCTGCCTCCCAAATACTAATAAGGGAAAAAATCTAAATACTGTAGGGCAGTAAATTGTAAAATACTGTCTTAAGAAATTTTGTTTTCTTTTAGGTTCGCCATGAAATCAGTATTAACAGTATAACACATAAACTGTGCAGTAACAATTGCTTTAATGAATACAGATTGACCAATGGTCTAATAATGAACTGCTGTGAACAGTGTAGCAAGTATATACCCAAGAGTACTGGACACAGCATTCTGATTACAGGTCAGCAAAAGAGATTCTGCTGCCAGAATTGTGCTGATGAATATAAAGAGGTAATTCTTTGTTTTGTTTTGTAATATTTTTATGTACATGAGTGTTTTACCTGCATGTTTGCACACTGCGTGCATCCCTAATGCCCTCAGAGGCTAGAAAAGGTGTTGGATCCCTTGGAACTACAGTTGCAGACAGATGTGAGCTACCATGTTAAGTAAGTAGCTAGCAATCAAGCCCAGATCTTCTGCAAGAACAGCCAGTACTCTCAGCACTCTTGACTGCTGACATAATTTCTCCAGTCTCTACTTCTCTGTCTCTGTCTCTGTCTGTCTCTGTCTCTCTCTCTCGTGTGTGTGTGTCTGTGTGAGTGCAGTTGCTTGTGTGTGAGGGTTAGAACAGACCTGAGACTCCTGTCCTTGCCCTCTACCTTGTTTGAGACAAGATTCATGGAATATCCTAGGCTATCTGACCTTCAAGCTTCTTGTGATTCTCTTGTGTGGCTGTTTCCCATCATGTTGCAGGAACACTCAGATTTAGATGCTTACCACCAAGCTGGGCTTTTACATTTTGATACCAGGGATGATGGTGTATGGCTTTAATCTTGGCACTAGGGAGGCCAAAGCAGATAAATCTCTGTGAGGTCGAAGCTACCTGATTCTACCTAGAAAGCTAGATCAGCCAAGGCTGCAAAGATCATAGAGATGTGACTAAATATTATCAAAAAAATTTTTAGCAGTATCACACATGAATATAATGCATATGTGTGATATATTTTCTTTTTATTACGCCCATTCCTTGCCCTTTCTTATTTCTACTTTGTCAACTTCCCCTCCCCCTCCAAATCCCTTTCCTATGTTCATGTTTATTGTATTACTGACTTTTCTGGTGTTGTGATAAAATACTATGACTAAGGCAAAAAAGGGTTTATTTGGGGTTCCCTGTTCCAGAGGGTGAGATGGAAGCAGCTGTAGCAGTAGGCAAGGAAATGATTGGAGTATTGAAACCTAAAAACTGGAGATCTCATTCAAACTGCCATAATATTTTTTGTTTTAAAATTAACTGAGTTTAACTAGGGCTGCCCATGTACCTATATGTTTGGCCTAGGACACCTAATGTCATTCATTCTATAACTGAACATGCTCATGAGTGCATGCATTCATTTATATGATATTTATACATATGCCATACATAAACATATATGTAAAGATAGTAGAATAAGGATATAAGGCTTGCACATAGAGTATAAAAGAAAAAAAATGGGGAAATGTGTAATCAAAATAGGCTTCAACTATATATCTAGATCTTGGCTTGTTTTAGAGTGATCAGCAGCAGTTCTTTAGAGAAAGGCAGTAGAGAAACCTTTGTTGTATATGAACATTTTAAGAAAAACAGGGCTGGGGATAACTCATTAGCAGAGGATTTTCTGGTAAGCACACATAATATGCTGGTATTACGTCCCTGATGATAACCACCACCAACAGACAAGAAATTAAAATATTGTTATTAGTTGCTCATCGCTGAATGATGAGAGTCGTAAACTATAAAATAGGGAATTGGGAAGATAGCTCAGTGGTTAAGAGTTCTTGCTGTTTTTCCAGAGGACTCAAGTTCAGTACTCTGCCACCACATCAGGTGGATCACTGCCAACACCAGGAAATCTGACATATGGCTTCTACTGGCACGCACCCCTATAAGTAAAAAACAAAACTTTTAAAAAAATAACTTAAGTTCTATATGAAATACATAATTATTATATTGTGTGGGTAATACATGTGTGTGGGTCCAGTGCTCACCATGACCCACGTGGAAAGTCAGAGGACAACACTGTGGAGTCAGTTCTCTTTGCCACGATGTTGAGTTCCAAGGATTAACTCAAGCATCACATCAGACTCTCACAGCAGGTGCAGTACTGGCTGAGATATCTCCATGGCCCCAAATGTAAACATGCTTCTGATCTAAGCCAGTGATTTGGGAAACATTTTTTATTGTTAGTGATTTAGGGGTACTGTTGCCATCTAGTATGTTGTGTGGATGCTAGGTCTGTTCTTCAACATCCTGATTATGCATGACAGTCTCTTATATGACTTTGCCCAAGACATCCTGTAAGTGAACATGTTGCTGGGTGATGTGAGGGGTGAGCCATGTAAGTAAAGGAAGCTAAACTCCATCTTCTTAGTAAGTCTGTTGATGCTGGATGTGATGGCAAATGCCTTTAAAATCTCAGCACTGGGAAGGCAGTGAACTTAGTGAGTGATCTTAGTGAGTTCCAAGACACCCAATGAGTTGTAGAGAGACCCTGTCTCCAAAAAAACAAACAAACAACAACAAAAAAAAAAACCCAATAACCAAAGAAAAAAGTCAGTTCAGTTGATGATACCTAAAGCTAGGAGGAAAATAGTAAGTGATGATTCAAAATATGTAAATTAAGGGGTTGGTATGTTGCTCATTGATGCTCCCCTAGTATGCATAAAGTTCAGGGTGCAATCCCAAGTACCAAATAAACACTGGCATGTTGGTACATTCCTGTAATCCTGGCACTCAGGAAGTGGAAACTGGAAGATCAGAAATTCAGAATCAGGCTAGAGAGATTGAATTTACCACCAAGTCTGACAACTTGGGTTCAATCTCTGAAACCCACATTGACTGAGCCAGCTCAGTCAGTCAGTAGGTTCTCCAGGGCTGGAGGGAGCATTAAAAAGAGAAAGACAGTTAGACAACATTGTAGCATGACCCAGCCAGTTCTGAGGCTGAGGTGAACTTATATTTTTCCAATCTGCTTTTATACCATTTTAATTACATGCAAGTAATAAGGTCAGTTCTAGGTTAAGGAACAAGCAAGACAGTAAACACAAGTAGTCAAGGAACAAGCGCGACAATAAACAAAGTCCTGTGATCACTGTTTCTAAGGGCTTATCAGGATGACCAAGATACCTGAGCCTACTTCCTATCCTAGCCCAAAGTCAAATTCTTGCCTGAAGCCCACTTCTTTGTTCTAGCCTGGAATCAAATTCCTGCCTGAGCTTACTTCTTTGTACTGGCCCAATGTCAAATTCCTGCCAAACGACCCCAAAAGCTCTCCACACCACATGGTGGGAGGTAGAACTGACTTGTCCTCTAACTTTCACATTCATGCCATGATATATGTATGTACTCACACATCTGCCCAAAATAAGTAAAAAAGTTCAGAGTTCTCCTTGGTTAGAAAACAAATTTGAAGCCTGTCTGGGCTACATGAAAGTCTGTCTTACTTATTTTATTTTTTTAAAAAAAGAACCTAGCTATTGAAAAATCTTTTAAAAAGTCTTATCCCCCAGCGGGGCAATCAATGATTTTGCATGACTTTAATCCCAGCACTTGGGAGGCAGAGGCAGGAAGGTTCCTGAATTTGAGGCCAGCCTGGTCTACAGAGTGAGTTCCAGGACAGCCAGGGCTACACAGAGAAACCCTGTCTCGGAAAAACAAACAAACAACAAACAAAAAAAGAAAAAGTCTTGTCCCGTGTATAGTGCAGGGAATAAGAGTCACAGTTTTGAGGCCAGCTTGGCATGTAGGGAGATCCTGTTTAAAAACAAAATTTATTAAGTTAATAATGCTTTCATTTAAGATTTTGGGGTGTTAGGTTTTTGGGGTGGGTTTTTTTGTTTTATAAGATGCAATGGTTGTGGGGTGTTTTTTTTGTTTGTTTGTTTTATAAGATATAATGTGGTGATTTGAATAGGAATGGCCCCCATAGACTCATCTATTTGAATATTAGCCAATAGGGAGTGGCATTATTAGAGCATGGGTGGCCTTGTTGGAGGAAGTGTGTCATTTTGGGGGCAGGCTTTGAGGTCTCAGATGCTCAAGGTAGGCCTAGTGTGGCATTCTCTTTTGCTGCCTGTGGATCAATAGAACTCTCAGCTCCTTTATAAGAGTTGTCAGTCATGGTATCTTTTCACAGCAATAAAACCCTAAGACAATATATTTATTTTTATTTTCTGTGTATTACCTATGTATATATATTTTGTACCATGTTGTTCATGGCTACTGCCCTTGGAGGTCAAGAGTCCATTGGCTTCTCCTGAACTAGAATTGCAAATAGTTGTGAGCTACCATGTGGTTGCTTGGAATAAAAAACCAGGTCCTCTATAAGAACAAGAGCTCTTAAGCACTGATCCATCTCTTGAGCCCCAAGATTTTATTTTGTTTTTAAATGTGTTTATGTGTGTGGGAGGGAGATTATGTGTATATGATTTTAGTTCCCCATGGAGGTTAAAAGAAGGCATCAGATCTCCTGGAGCTTTAGTGACAGCCGTTGATAAGATAGCTGCTCAACATAGGTGCTGGGGACAGAACTTATGTCCTCTTCAAAAGCAAAACACACTGAACTACAAAGTGGCCTTTTGTTTTTTTGTTTTGTTTTTGGTTTTGTTTTGAGACAGGGTCTCTAGGCTGCCCTAGCGATAACTGAATTTCTTACCCACATATATAGAAAGGATTATAGCAATTTTACCATTAAAATTAATTGCTTTTTGGGGGAAGGGGTCAAAAGATTGGTTGAGCAGTTTAGAGTACTTTTAAGAGTAGTTTAGAGTTACTTTTGCAGAGGACCCAGAATTTGATTCCCAGCACTCATAAGATGTCTCGTAACCATCCTAACAGCAATTCCACAGGATCTGATGCTCTTTTCTAGTCTCTACGGGCACAAGGCATGCATATGATACATACTCGTTAGAGTCCTACTGTGTCCTTAGTGATCTAATTTTGCCTGAGTTACATCATGTTTCTATTTGTCACTGTCTCAGTTGTAGCCATCCTGATAGGTGTGAGATGCTACGCCTAGTTTTTGTTTAAGATTGATTTTAGGAATGTTTTGCTGCATGTGGATATGTACACCAAGTGCATGCTGTGGTATGCTTTGTTTTTGATGGCTAATAATGAACCATTGCCTGCTCTTATTTCTTTATTTCAACTTTTAAAATGTCAATAAATTATAATATATTTCCTTTCAGATAATGGAAGCAAAATCAAAAATACTGCTTTTACAAAACAGAAAAAGGAATGCTATCAGAGAAGAAAATGAAAAAAAATTACATGAATTGTCAAGTACACTTTCAGGAAACACAGGAGAAATTCCAGAAAAAAAGGAAAAGACTTCAGAGATAGTAAAAGTTGCAGTAGACTGTAGCCTAGATACATCATCAGAGGAACAAAATGTGAATTTACCTTTGTCTGTGGCAGCAGTAACTGATACAATTCAAGAGCAACTAGGAGACAAACATTCAGAGGAATTTGATATGTCAGTTGTACTTTCTTTGGATCCAGGTTCGTGGCCCCGAATTTTGAATATGAAACAACGTGAATTTCTTGTCAAAAAAGATCCACCTCAAATAAGAAATTTTAATTTTCCAAAAGACAGTGCAGGCAAGAAGTTTTCAGAAACGTATTACACACGAATTCTTCCAAATGGTGAGAAGAGCACCAGACCTTGGCTGCTCTACTCAGCCTCTAAAGACTCTGTGTTTTGCCTGTATTGCAGACTCTTTGGGGAAGGGAAGAATCAACTGAGAAACGAGAATGGGTGCAGAGATTGGCATCATTTGTCACATCTTCTTAGTAAACATGAAGAAAGTGAAATGCACATCAACAATAGTGTTAAGTATTCAAAATTAAAATCTAACTTGAAAAATAAAACCAGTGAAGCTACCGAAGGTGGGGAAAATTGTGTGCAACTATTGTACACATAATGTTCTACCTGCTTTACATATGACAGTGTCTGCATTACCCAGACACTACCATAAAAAGTTTTGTACCTGGAACCAGTACCATACACTGTGTAAGAGGAACTTACAGGAGTTCATTAGCAATATGTCTAATAGCAAATAAATAGTAAACTATGTTCCTGTTCTAAATCTAAAAGCAATTGGTGAGTATAGTCATTATAGATTTTAGCAAAGGCAGTTTGAGCTTTGTCACTGTGAGGGTTCTCACCCTGTAAAGTGTTGTTGGAGGACTTCCACTTAATGGCCTAAGAGCAGGAAAAGGCAAGGTGCATATATAACAAGCTAAAGAAAATATATTCACACCACAAGATGGTGGTACATGCCTTTAATCTCAGCACACAGACACAGATAATGTGATATCTGTGAGCTCTAGGCCAACGTGGTCCACAGAGCAAATTCCAAGACAGCCAAGATACACAAACCCTGTCTTGAAAAACCAAAAAGAAGGAAAAAAAGAAAATGCATTCAAACAGCTTAAGAAGCTATGGCTGTTTGCTATTAAGCCAAATTCTTGAGTTTTATTTCTTTAAAACATGTTTTTATTTGAGCAAAACAGTTTATTTGTTGTGGTAAATAGAGGTAATTTGTTTTATTGATTTTATATTTTGGTTTTCAAATTTGTTTTATTGGTTTTATATTTTGGTTTTCAATTTAATATGTAAATGTTTTCATTTTGTTAAGAGAATTATAAAGAATATATAGCTATTAGTATGAATATAAGAAACATTAAAATGTGGTATGTATATATATGTGTGTGTATACATATATGTATGTATATATAGTTAATTTTTCAGTGTTCATGTTAATTTTTCTTTTGAAAGTATACTCCATGTGTGAATTTTGAGAAACTATGAATCTAAAAAATGTTTTCTTCAGATGCTTCATTTTCGTTTTCTTGTATAAAAGCCCTTACTTACGTGGAACTGGGAATGGTGGTGCTCAGGAGTCAGAGGGAGGTGAATCTCTGTGAGTTCAAAGCCAGCCTGGTCTACAGAGTGGCTTTCAGGGCAACTGGGTCTACATATCTCAAAAAACAAACAAACAACAACAAAAAAAATTTGTGTGGTAGCTACAACTGGAGCTTGGGTCTTCTGGGTGAGGATTCTATTGTGGGTTTTCACAAGATTGTCAGTGAATTCCTGGCAAGGAAACTTGGTGAAGACAGTCTCTTTCCAGAGGCTAGGGGCCAAATAGCTGTTAGGGTGGCCTCAACACAATTTCCAAGGGTGACAGGGCAACCCCTGGCTGATGGGTAGCAGTCATTGATACTGGCTGGCCATCAGCAATAGCTTCTTGGGCACAGGAGCAGGCACAATACCAGTGTCTGTGGCAACAGGGAAGAGATACACCAACACAGAGGCACAGTCACCTGTTACCTTGCATACAACTGTGGCACTTGCCAATCTTGTTTCTCCAGTAGCCTCTCCACACAGGGAGGGTGGAAAGCTTGGCCAAGATGATGGTGGCCTTTTGGATGGCAGTGGCTACTTCTTGGAGCACCTAACACCAAGACCAGCATGACCATTGTAGTCCCCAAAAGCAACAAAAGCCTTTACCTGAACCATTGGCCATCTCCAGTCTGCTCCTGCACTGGCATGGTCTTTAGAGCCTCATCCTTCAGGGATGTACCCAGGAAAAAGTCAATCTCAGACTCCCTACTGGGCAGGGAGAACAAACAGGTAGGTCTCTTCCAGGGACTTGATTTTCATGTCGTTGAGTAGGCAGTTCAGCTTCTTGCTGTCTCACCTCCAAGAACACCACAACCATGACCACTACTGCATCTTCCTGAGTCTCCAGGCCCTCAAGCTATGCCAGCTTCATTGTCCATTTGCCATATTCCCAAAGAAACAGCAAATCTAAAAAATTGTGATGACCATCTATGGTCCTGATCATGAATTTGATAGTTTTATCTTTTGCTTCTGATTTCTGATGTTTATTTTATCATCTGTTAAATTCTTAGAGATATATGAGCGTTTTTCCCCCTCTTTGGGGCTTTTCTTGCAAAACAGTATCATTAACAACAACTATGCTTCCTTCTGCATGGAAATATGAGGCTCAGTCATGTTGCTCTGTGATAGTATTTTCTAAAACACCCACTGAAACCATTTTAGGTACATTATACCTTTCCAGGTAGAGAATGTAGCTTGGTTAGTAGAATGTTTGCCAAGCACACAAAAAACTGTGGGTTTGACCTGCAGACTGCATTAGCCATGTGGCAGCAGGCCTGTAATCATAGCTCTCAGGTGGTAGAAGCAAACAGCAAGTATGAAGTCACCCTTGGGTTTATGAAACCCTGTCTCCAAAAGAAAGTTGCTTTTAGTCATTTAGGCTTGGATCTAAGTGAGTCATGGTGGCTGTCAGCTGTAATCTCAGCACTAGGGAAGGTGAGACAGGAGGATTGTTCAAGGCCAACCTGGGATACATAATGAGTTCTAGGCCAGCCTGAACTATAATGTGCTATTCTCATAGAGATAACTGGCTAACTTTAAATACAGCTTTGTGATGTCTCCAAAATGTTACTTTACACTCAGATCTATGAGGATACTTAAGAAAAATAACACTTTAGGGTTTTTTTTGGTTTTTCGAGACAGGGTTTCTCTGTGTACCCCTGGCTGTCCTGGAACTCGCTCTGTAGACCAGGCTAGCCTCGAACTCAGAAATCCACCTGCCTCTGCCTCCCAAGTGCTGGGATTAAAGGCGTGCACCACCACCGCCCGGCCAACACTTTAGGTTTGGTTTGTTTTGTTTTGTTTTTGGGTTTTTCGAGACAGGGTTTCTCTGTATAGCTCTGGCTGTCCTGGAACTCACTCTGTAGACCAGGCTAGCCTCGAACTCTCGAACTCAGAAATCTGCCTGCCTCTGCCTCCCAAGTGCTGGGATTAAAGGCTTGCGCCACCACCGCCCGGCTAACACTTTAGTTTTATATGTAGGAGTATTTTGCCTGTATGTATGTTAAATGTACCATGTGTGTACCTGGTGCCTGTAGAGGCTAGGAGAGGTGGTTACCTCTGGAACTGAAGTTTTAGATGTTTGTTAGCTACCTGTTTGAGTGCTAGGAACCAAGCCTGGATTCTCTGTGGCTTTAAGGGTCTTAGGTCTCCTTGCTGTCTTTAGCGTTATGCTGAGAACATCAGCGTGGAAATAACATTGTTCTGCTGTTGGAGTGATCCTCTTTGCTACCCACATGTTTATTGTTGAAATACTTCCCAGGACAGGGTTGCTCTATGACTTGAATATAAAGTATATATAGCTTGATATACTCGATTTATGGCTGGCATTCAGACAAAGGTGTTAGGAAATCTGATCCATTTGTAGTGTTCTGCCTCTTGAGAATCAGTATAGTTGTATACCAATGTCAACTGGAAATAAAAATTGGGTCCAAGCCCCTTTATTGCTGATATTCTTTGGTGAAAAAATAGGGTTTATTAATTTTCTTCTCACTGCTCCCCCCCTCACCCCACACACCATACCCAACTCCTGGAATTTGCAATATGGAAGGGAAACAATATTGATATGTATTTAATTGTAAAACTTTTTTTTTTATACAAGGCCTCACTGTGTAGTCCTGACTGGTCTAGAATTTAATATAAAGATCAGACTGGCCTCAAACTCACAAAGAGCTATTTTCTCTTCTTCATAGAAATATTGGAATTAAAGGCTTGCGCTACTATATCTGCTACTCTTTTTTTTTTTAAAGATCTTATTTTATGTATGTGAGTATGATGTAGCTGTCTTGAGACACACCAGAAAAGGGCATCAGATCCCATTACAGATGCTTGTGAGCCACCATGTTGTTGCTGGGAATTGAACTCAGGACCTCTGGAAGAGCATACAGTGCTCAACCACTGAGCCATCTCTCCATTCCCCCGCTCCCAACCTTTTTAAATAAGAGAAATTAGTTGGTATGATTTTTTCCTGATTTCTATTACTTTTGTGAGGAGTGGGGGTGGAGATGTGTGTGTCACAGAATGGAGAGAGAGAATGGGAGGTGAGAGTGTCTTCTGACTGGGGGGTGAAGCTGGCCTTTGAACTCATTGTGTAGATAACGTTGCCCCCAAACTGTGGCAATCCTCCTGCCTCAACCTGCCAAATCCTGAAATTGCAGGAAAATGCCACCACACTTGGCTGGGACACAGTAGAGAAAACAGTGAGAAAGTAAATATTATCTTGGTGCCATTATAAATAACACTTCTGATGTCTGACTCCTTGAACAAAAGGTTGACCAGTCTCACCTAATCAATGTTCTCTAGGCCTCAATCAGATAGACAGACTATCTATCTATCTATCTATCTATCTGTTTATATCTGAAGCTGGAGGTATAGGCTGTTATGAGCTTCTGGCTGTGGGTGCTGGAAAGTGAATTTGGTTTGTCTGCAAGAATAGGGCGGTCAGGGGAAAACTTGAAGTCAATTTTACAGGAATTGTAGTTCATCAAAATCTATAGGGACAAATGCCTGGTGAGAGTTGGACAGGAAAATCAACTGAATACAAGTACCTATGCAGTTCTTTCTGGGAGGAGCACAAGAAGTACCCCAATGCTTGGGTCAGCTTCTTAGAGTTCTCTTAAGAAGTACTTAGAGAGGTGGGACCCCCATGTACAAGCAAAGGGAAAATCCACTCATGCAGTGATGCAAGCCTTTCATCCCAGCATTTGAGGCAGAGGCAGGTGGTGGATCCCTGTGAGTTCTAGGCCAGCCTGGTCTAGAAAACAAGTTCCAGTATATCCAGAGCTACATAGAAAAACCCTGTCTCAAAACAAAACAAAAGCCGGGCGGTGGTGGCGAACGCCTTTAATCCCAGCACTTGGGAGGCAGAAGCAGGCGGATTTCTGAGTTCGAGGCCAGCCTCGTCTACAGAGTGAGTTCCAGGACAGCCAGGGCTACACAGAGAAACCCTGTCTCGAAAAACAAAAACAAACAAAAACAAAAAGACAGCTCTCTTACTCCCTTACTCTCTTTTGCCTCTAGCTTCTCTCTGTCCCCTTGCCCTTCCCCCTTCCTTTCCCCCTCTCTCTACGTGGTCATGGCCGGCCTCCGCTTCTCTCCTCTCTCTCTCCTCTTTCTCCACCATCTCCCATTTCTCTCCCTACCTTTGCCCTCTGCCCTGAATAAACTCCCCCTCGTGGAACTGTCTGGTCTGTTGTGGTCTGTTCCAAGCTGCACGACGAAGTCTAACAGTAGCAGCTGTAGAGTGGATCAATTTGAGTGCTACAGAGGGCAGAGCTGGAGAAGTGACACCAGCCCCTTGGAGAAGGCCAGATCATGTGTAGATCCCAGACATTGAAACAAGAAGCTGTAACATTGAAGTTGCCTTAGAGACCCTAAGATATTCGAAATGCCAGAGCCATGAGATATCTGCTGTGGAAAGCTGTTAACGGAGTGGAACCAGCCCAGGAGAAAGAACTTTACTTGTGTTAACAAAGATGAAAAAGGAGTGGAGATCTGAAGACTACTTTGACATCAGCCATGGAGATGCAGAGTTTGGAGTTTGCCCAGCTGGTTTCCTGTCTTGCTTTGGGGACTACAATTAAGTGATTGGATGAATCTCAGAAGAGACTTTGAACTTTGGACTTTT